AAATAATTATATTTATCGAATTTACTTGAATTTACTATTTATTATTTGTTATTCACTTTTCATTATCTATCACTAATTATTTGTTAACTATTATTCATTACCCATTACAATTATTTACTACTTATTATCTATTATCTTTTAAATTTTAATCATTATATCAAATAGAGCCTGATACGGGCTGCTGTCTCTAAACAATTCATTTTTTATGCTCAATGATAATACTAGTCGAACATATCTCTACCATGATTTTGAATGTCAGGAACAAAATTTCTCAGCTTTATTATCATCCAAGGAGGATGCAAAGAAACTTTGAAGTCCACATTAGTAAGCCATAACTTGACTTCCCCGACAGGATTTTGATGTAAAAATCATGTTCATCATCTGCAAATATCATTTTTTTGATTCAGTGCTTTTCAACACATTAATTGATTAAGCCGTTGAGGAAACAATTGCTGATCCTCTGCCATCCAAATACATAGGCAAAGATAAAGCCAACTTTCTGGAGCAGCTTGCAAACCAGACTACCTTCAGAAATTAACAGAACTTTGTTTGTGTTAAATCATGCACTTGCAGCAAACAACTTTTTCCTTAACAGGATCAAGAAACAACGTCAGAAATCAAACTGCTATAAACTCTGGCGGTCATGGCCCCCTACGTTTCAGCTTTGTGTTGGTGTCACTTGCTCATGCTTTGGTACATACTCCTACAATAGAAGAAATGTAAGGAAAATGTATTATGCATACGTGTGCTCATATCGAACACTTGAACTATGTAACAAAGGGAGATAAAATAAAGGTGTCAAGTCCAATTTTATTGATGCATTAATCAAAAGGGTGTCCACCAATTTGACTTTAGTCCTCTTGATCCACACGTCTCTTCAACTTATCAAAAGCATGTAGTTGACAACAAATTCTAACTGCCACTCTTTTCACCATTTTCATGCTTTTTAGTCCAGCTAAGAGCTAATTCCAAATCCTGAAACTTCTTGTAAGAAACAGGAAAGTTATTTACCTCCATCTTCTGCATCAGATCTCTAGCGTTATCTGCAGATATGACAATGTTCCTTGCAGAAGGGTTGATGAATCCTTCTTCTACGCCTTTGTCGAACAACCCCAACAAGAAATCATAATATCCATCAATATTCAACAGCCCCACCTGAGTTAGCAACTCAAATGTGAGGAAAATAAAAGGAAGAAAAAGAAAAAGATCAAGTTCTATGTCCTTTCCTATATGTATGCATTTTGCTTTTGAGGTGTTCTAATGAATTAACCCAAAATAAAGAAAATGTTAAATTGTGAATTATATTTCTTTTGAAAATGCAGTTTTCAGTCCATACTGCTTAATTTTAATATTGGTTTGAGCAGGAAAACCCAAATATACCCTTAATGATTATTTTTACGCGCATAATCATTTAAGAGATTATCTTTTTATTACCAAACTAGATTTGACAATCCAAACTGGAAAACAGCTTTTTATATTGTTTTTATATTTGTTTTGGACCCATTTAGAGAAGAAAATTTGATTGATGTATATCACCATTTCACAGGTTCAAGGAAAAGGTTAGGTCCCAAGTATGGACCTAAAGATGGGTATTGAGTCAGTTTCATTGGCCAATTGGCCATATGGCCATTAGAAACTAGGCTGCTGTCAAGCTCATAAATAATCTCAAACAGTACTTGAAATAGGGATGGTTTTGGTGTTTAATAATTCAAAGTGTTGATTAAAGCGCGTTATTATACAACACATAGGAAAATTTATTTAAGTGGGAAGAAAGGGATTAGATATCTGTGGTTTCCAGATCCAACACGCTCAATTGTTTATATCATCCGGTCATGAACCATTCAAAGAAGAAAAGGGAAGATCAAATATACTTAGACAATCCTCATCTAACCCTTTCCTGTATTTTTTCTTTTCATTTTCTTTGTTTCAATGGTTGAACCACCTACATATCATACATTAAACTTGCTTTGATTTACAGTCTTGTTTTTGCGGTATAGTGTTTAATAAAACTCTTTCTGACATTGGCCCAAAAATAAAGAACTTTTTCTGACAAAATATTCAGTTAAAAAGGTCTAGCTCAACAAGCTAAGAAAGATTCCTTCAAGAAATTTAATGAAAAAAGATGCATGGCCATCATTTTAAAGATTTGAGGAGGCAGGAGTAGCTATTATATGTAGGTTAGTACTATGAAAGGGTTATGTAGGAAGAACAATCATGCATCACCAATCTCGAGTAGGGTTATGTATATGCATCTCTCACTTGGCTCCTTCTAGGGCCATTGCTACTAAATTATTTTTAATCAACATCATTCATCTACTTTAATAATTTCATTTGATATACGCATGGAGAGGAGACTTTTGAAATTCTTGACTGAACTTTTCAATTCTCTCCGCGGGAGAGAAATTTCCACAGTGTTACATTTACTTTGTACCGAAACTTGATGCAAATTAAAGAGAAATAAAGAATTCATGGAGGTGCTATATGTGACTTACAGGTTTGTCATGGATGCCAAGCTGAGACCATGTTATCATCTCAAGCAACTCTTCCATTGTTCCATAACCTCCTTCAATATAATCGAAGTTACTAATACTGAATCAGTAGTTTTATAGCATATGTGTATAGTTTTTCATTAGTTTATGTGAGTGTTGATTTGGATTATTTGTATACATATGCCTTGTGTTCTTACCAGGTAGGGCAATGAAAGCATCAGCTTGTCGTGCCATCTCTGCCTTTCTTTCATGCATATCTGACACAATCAACACTTCTCCCACTGCATGGCCTGAGATCTGAGAACAAAGCATATCTTAGAACCCTAGCTACAGTAATCCAGAAATGGTAAATGAGAGAATGAGAGAGTTTTCATTGCATACCTCTACAGAAAGAAGAGCAGTTGGGATAACTCTACAATTCCAGCAAAAGAGATCAAGAACAAGTAAAATCATAAATAAATTTTAAAAAGTATATTGAATATATATAGATTAGCGAATCCAAGAATCGATAATCAAAACAAAGCTATGATACGATTCTAAATATATATATAATGAATCTGCAACATACCAAAATTCAAACTCTTGCAAGCAAAAAATCAAATGGAATTTATTCATGTATATGTAGTACTCTACTTTTCTCAACACTGAAAAAGATTTTCTACCAAAAAAAAAAAAAAAAACACTGAAAAAGTTTTATGTTAATTTGCTCCCATTATATGATCTCTTACCCTAGAACATGGCATCCCCCATCATAAACTGTTTGAGCAATCAACCCCATCAGCCCAATACTTCCTCCGCCATAAACCAAATCCATCTTCCTTTCAACCTGCGAATGAATTTCCCTATTATAAAAATTTGATCCTTCATGAAGTTTCACAAGCATGGTGCTTGTGTGTGCGTGCACGTGTGTGTATTACAAAGATGGAGAGAAGAGAGAGTATCAACCAGTTGTCCACCAAGATCAAGAGCTGCATCACTAAAAATCTGTCTGTACCCTGAATTGCTCCCACAGAAGACACATACCCTTTTGAACTTTCCCATAAATCTTTCTCAATCTTCCTGTGCTGAAAGCCTCCACAACAATGTACAAATTATATAATGATTTAGGCAATGTCAAAGTAAAACCAAATATACTGTGTGTAGGAATTGCATGACACGTGAGACATGATGTTCATGGCCCATGATACATGGATAATAATGCGAGTGTTTTGAGTCAAAGGAAAGAAGATTTTCTTTTCTTTCTCATATTTGTTTTCTATTAATCTTATTTGTTTTGGTTGGTGCACCAATAATATCACTGTTTCCATATTTTGCCATACAAAGGAAGCCAGATTCATCTCCCATCTCTGGTGCTGCAAATTCAATCTAGGTCATTCTATTTGGTGGCTAGCTCTGTACCAAAAAAGTCACCTCTACCCCCCTCAAAAAAAAAGATCGCACCTTTTTAGGGTATACAGTAGACTGCTACTATAATATTACCCCATTATGTCATGCATTCATCTTAGCATAGATTCTTATTCTCACTAAAAAAAAAAAGAAAAGAAAGAAAAAAAAAAAAAAGCTGAAATCCTCTTCTTTTAATTTGTATTTAACTTGACCAATAAAACCATAGTGGAAACTGAATGCTAAACCATTTACTTTCACCAAAAGGATTGCTGTATGCATGCTTTCCTCAATTTGACTCGAACTTTTATGGAATTATAAGGCGCACAAACCATTATCATGTAGGAGAGACAATGAGATTGGCTCAAAAATTCTGCAACTTTAGCATTTTGTTAGTGTTGGTACTACCAGTAAATGATGCCCGTTTCATCACTTATGATGTAATTATGATGACCAGAGGTAACAATGTATGGTACTAAAATTGACTCAAGCGTGCGTTGAGGCATGATGGAGATGTGGGGGCCAATTTAAACCCACCACTAATTCATTGAAAGGATTAGAGAGGTGCTTTTTATTTTATGCTGGGTTGAACAATCATGCCTACTGCTGTTGGTCCGATCAAACTTATAAAATATTAGGAAACAGAAGACACAAAGATATGCCAAAAACACTTCTTTCTTTCTTATGGATTTGAGTACTAAATAAATATATATATATATATATATATATAGTGCCAATCTGTCAAACCTGTCTTCAAAATAAAACCACTGCTCTTAGCATAGTGGGAAGTGGTTCATGTCCCAAGTTAGAGAATTTGGGTGCTTTCAAATTTTCATTTTTACCAAGAAAAAGGTGTTCTTTCATGGGGAATCTTCATGGAGTTCTTAATCTACTGTGTCACCTGAACCCATAAGTCGGTGGCATCTATAAGCCAAATTCAAAGCCACAATCTCAAACTTGTTATGGTGACAGGTGACGGGTGACGAGGTTCCTACCACCAAGCTACTCCTTCAAACGATTAGGTGCTTTTCAATTTGATGCTTACATATTTCATTAAATGGTTGTTCAACATGATTCTTCACTACACATTCAATTGCTCGAACTAGAGAATTCTTTACCTTAACCAACTCAGATGCTTTTAAACCTTTTCCAGCAATTGACGAAGCAAGTCAAGCTAGTTTTTGGAGTCTTTTGAGCTTAGCCTAGACATAAACAAAAGACTTTAGTTGATAGCTTGTTAATGCCAGTTAAGTTTGAAGTGTCAATATGTGGACATTATGTGACAGGTGAATGGAGATCTGCATCTCATTGTTTATCTCCTGGAATAATGCAGACAAGAAACGTTGCCAATGCACCAACTCACCTAATTTTTCCTCCAAAAGTTAGTAATTGTGATGATGATGATGATGATTGATATTTGTATTTAGTAATTTTGCCTGTCCAAATCACAGAGACCTTTGATTATGACACATGAAACATTAAAAGACCATAGAACCTCGAATCTACACCGACAAAAAGATGATCACCAACAATTTGAATAGCTTTAACTCTACAAACTCAATACCAAGTTCTTATCCTGTTTTTCATTTTTATTTTTTTTCAACAATCAAATGTTGCATCCATCCTTATAACCAATTATTGGATGGAAGGATGGATCAATCCTTAATAATAAATTAGTTGACGGATAGCTGCCGCTCATGAAATATATCAAGAATTGACACCAGAAGAACTTTATGCGACTTGGGAATGCTTCTTAAATCACATTGTTCGTTCCTCCAAACCCTTTTGGAAATTTGTGAACATCTTTAATAAAGAAAAGGAGCAGCAATTAGATGGCAGTGGAAGCACTTGCTGGAGATATAGCATGGCGTCCCACAAATGACTCAACAAGTGAGTTTACAAGATGTGGAGCTTCATCCTGCGTCCATACCAGCAAAGAAAGGTTGTAGAAATTACTTTGTGTGTTAAATGTGTGAGCATGAACATGTATTTATGCAGTTGCCACACAAGAGAGAGCCCAACCTGAGGGCAGTGGCCAACATTTGGAAGGTCAATGAAGTCTTCTACAGAATCAAAATTTTCATAAGCTCTTCCCAGTTCAATAGGTTCCCATGGATCCTTGTCACCCCATGCTATCAAAACAGGGCACTGTAAAAGGGAAGCAAGAAGGACAAAAGTCATGAAAGTAAGATTTGACAACAAAGGTAGAAGATAGCATATTAGGATTCAGTTTAAGAAGCTCACCTTAACCTGTGGCAGTAGTTCCTCAGGCAGAGGGCCACCTGAGTAACAAATGAACTCAAGGAAAACATCAACAGCACCAGGCTCAAGTCCTGGACGTAGAATATTCTCAACAAGTTCCTCTGTCACCTGGGAGGTGTCATGGTAACACTGAAATGCAATGTATAAGAAGCAGTCAACACAGGTAGGAGCATGGCAGATCTGATAACTTTATTTTTCAATAAACTGCTTGTTGTCTGATGGCAATCTACATATCACTTCCTCATACATGGATATCAATAGTACTTTCTATCTCAAAATTGGTGTTCTGTCTTGTCCTGGTAAATGCTACAATGTACTTGGAACTCTAGCTTCGGACCAGAAACAGCGTTAAAATTTGAAAGTTGAAATATGTTTGGTAGAACAAAAAGCAATAAGAGTAGTGTCAAAATACTGTTTATGGTGAGATATTTGGAGCTATTATTTGTTTCTTATGAATGGAAAAACAAAGGAGTACCTGGCAAAGAATGCTTCTTACAGACTCTTTAGTGGCAATGGATTTATAGAAAAGTTTTCCCACGGCAGTATTCCTGTAATGGTAGCATGTCCATTTTGTAAAACCCAAGGTACGTGCAAGTGCAAGGCATAAGCTTGCAGAAACTGGCAGCTAACATCATTTTTACCTTAGCAGACTCTGAAATAATGTGATAAAAGGTCTCCCAATCCATGGTTGTTTCTTAATATGAAGCATGCGAAGAGATATATCCAATAGAACTATGCCCTTACAGATCTGTGGCTGTAAAACTGCTGCCTGAAGGCCAACAAGTCCTGCATGCATGAATAGAAATTAGATTGACAAGTATATTGTTCATATAATCAGTTAAAAAAAAGAGTATGAAAGAAAGAAGAGAATAACATAGGAGTAAGTAATACAGAAGAAAAAAAAGGGTCTCACTGAGAAGCACTTGAGCTCAATGTCAGCAAACATTGATCGTTGCACGTCATTATGTTGTATGTAAAATGACTAATTCATTTCAACAAATGAAATATAAAATGATAATGTCAACATAATTCACACAATAGTAGAAGTAACTACCATCTTTCCTAGATGATACCAATAGGAAAAATAACTATAGAAGTGAAAGAGCCTATAATTTTATTTTTTTTTGTTTTTGCTGGACAAAAGTGAACTATGCACAAAAATTATGCTTCAAATTTTTGAAATCACAAACTATGACAGAAATCAGCTGAACATTAAACCCTCAGAACCAGAGACTAAACTAAGATATGCTAGAATATTCAAAGGGTGCATATAAAAATAAATAAAAGGGTGGTAACCTCCAATAGAATTGCATATGAAGAATGCCTCATCCTTGATCACATCGCTACAAAAGTCATTCAGCTGAGAGGCCCATGTCTCAAATGTATAGAAAGATTCTCCAACTTCACGAGGATTTGGCTTGTCAGAATATCCATACCCAATAAGATCAATTGCATATACCCTATGTGATCTTGCAAGAACTGGAATATTTTTCCTCCAATGGTCACTGCAACACATAAGAAGCAAAAACTATTAACAATTGGGTATGGAAGAAAGGACATGAGAAAAAAGGCCATACTTCAGATATTGTGCACAAACAGACAATCATGACTAAAACTGGGAGGGGGAAGTGGGGAGGGAAGCTATTTACAATGTCAATACTTAATCCAAACTAAAGGGTTAACTGAAATTGATACCAAGTCAAAAAACATTCCTCAAGTAAGTAGTATCTAAAACAAAATGAATTTTCACATATTATGTCAACTTAAATGCAACTGAGATAGCATTACATGAGAGATGCTAACCTTGATTCTTATAAGAATTGAAGAATGGTAACATTCTATGAGATACAAAAATTCTAGAGCCAAATGTCAATAATTGAATAAAGTTCACTTAGGTGATTAATTCTCCATGAATAGAAGCTCAATCATGGAACCTATATGGTGAAGCATTAGTTTTATATCAAATGACATCTTCTTTGTTTCAAAAGAAAATAAAAGCAGACATACTACTCCAAAATATAAGAAGTTGAAAAGAACAACAATATAAAGCAATTTGCGCATTTAATACCTATAGCAATTACTTGTCTCCTAATGAGAAGCAAAATGACAATGATGTAGACCTGTTTGCTCCAAAACCATGAACCAAAACCAAGGCAGGCCCACTGTTTCCAGAACATTGGTAGCGAATAGAGTAACCTTTCCAGGTCCACATGCTACAAGACAAAAGATACAATGTTAGAAGTCATCATGAAAAGCATCTCCATGAATTGTAGTAACAAATACAAATTAAGATGAAACAACTGCTGAGCCATAATTAAAGGGAATCCCAAAACTCTGGTTGAGTTAATAATTGTCCCTTGACATGTAAACATGAGGCACTAAATAATCTTAAAATTAAAGAGCTTCCCAAGAATCATAGAACATCCAAGCTTTTTTGTTTCTTTATTGTTTTAAAAATGTTGGATAGAGTGTGTGTGTGTGTGTGTGTGTGTGTCATTCTCAGCTTCATGCATTTAATCCTTTTCAAAATAAGTAACCTTGTTTCCTGTAATATCATGTGCTACAGATTGTTGTTTCTTCTTATTTTAGACATATTCATAGTTTCATACATTCAAACTTCAAGTGGATAGACATATTATATCAAATGGCAAGCTGAAGACAGAGAATAATCACCAAAGTAAGGCAGTCAAGTCCATTTTCATAAGATGCTGCTATAGGCTTGCTAACGTTACCGATGCTTATAGTCTATCATCTTTTAAAGTCGAAAAAGTCACTCATATACTTGAATAAAGTTAAATAAAGGAATTTTCTGAACATGAAAATGAGATTAGTAAAGCAGAATTATAATGGAACAAATAAAAATAGAAATTGCTGCAATTCAGCTCGAGTCAAAGCCTTAATTTTTTAACTAGTCGCTCCTGCCTCGTAGGACCCAGATACAAGTAAGAGTTAGTATTTTCAATAGTTTCCATGGATGTATATAACTGAGGTAATTAATTTTATAAAGAACCCAGTATAGAAAAATCACAAAGGTTTAATTTTTATTGTGTATTTTCTCATTACATAGTCATAGACCCAGCTACCCAAATTATCCTCAACTTCAGTTCACTTAATGTACCATTACCAAAACAATGTTAAATAAAAGAATGGAAAACAGCAGGAAAGTATTGAAGCAAGTATAGAGTGTGAAAAAGGAAACACTACCAGCTTTGAACTTGAGGGTCTGAGCTTTTGCTTGATAAAATCATGTCTTCAGTTCGATCTTCAGCTGGATTATCAGTCGAAACAGAGCAAACAACAAACCCTTTTGATTTCAATCGATAAAGACTGAAAAATGAGTGAGAAATCGTATGTTTTCGAAACCGGGTCCTGCCAAAATGGACCCGTGACCCAACGATCTTGGTTTTTCCAGCAGAAAACAGGACCGGAAAATCTAATCTCGACAAGGGTAGCACCGGCGAGCTGGTGCTTGCCATGGCTGCAAGAAAGAGAATTTCTGGTCTCGAAAGTTGGAAAACGGTGGGGTTAGGGAATGGTTAAGGGACCGTTATAGACTTTCCTGATCACCGTAGGTCCACGTAGCCTGATCGCTGTTCTGTCCTAGGTGCCATCCTTGTTGGACCCCACTCCTGAACACGTGGAATATAATATAAAAATACTGATTTAAAAAATATTTACCAACCATGATATTATAAAAATTTAATAATATTATAATTACAATATAATATATAATTATAAATTTATAATTATAA